ACATGGCACTCCAATGCTAAAAATTGGACACATGGCACTCCAATGCTTTCACAGATTTGATACAAATTTTCAAGGTACTTAGAATCATAGGTATCAATCTGCACCAATTCTTTCTCCTGCACAAGCTTACTTTGCTAACACATGCTCTACACCTTACTATACGAACCAATCTTCCTTGGTTCCCATGAACACTATAAGTAATCAGTCTCCAGCACTGAAGTAACAACCAAATGCCTTCAACTCTCAACAGCAACAACCTTCAAGTTCAGCCACACGTGGTATTGAAACAGTTTTTGATAACCATCAGAATGGAATTTTTTCACAAGGGCTACTCCTCTTACAGTCATGGATCCAAATTGGTTCATTGACTCATGAGCAACTCACCATATCACTCTTGATCTGTAGAATATATCTCTCAAAAGTCAGTATAATGGTCCAGAAACTTTACAAGTTGGAAATGGATAAACCTTGAAATCTCACACACAAGTATGACCACTCTTCCCTCAAATTATTTGAACAAATCCATTTATCTTCGGAATATACTTTGTGTACCCAATGTAACAAAAAATTTACTTAGTATCTCTAAAATTACAAAAGACAATAACATTGTTGTTGAGTTCTTTACTGATGGATGTATTATTAAGGACAAGCTGTCACAGAAAACTCTGCTTCAAGGAGTTCTAAATAAAGGCTTGTACCAACTTACAATACCAACTGTCGGGAGAATTGAAAATAAAGTAGCAAGTGACTCTCTGCATAGCCTTGTCAAGACACTTCCTGGTCAGTCCACTGAAATGATTCATCAACTGTCTCTGCATGTTACCTTGTGTGCTCCAGTCAAGTTTCAATCTGGAAATAACGTCACCAAACTGGCAGAAATTGCTCCAGCTAAATTGAGTGACGATACTGTGCTTTTATGGCATAGAAGATTAGGCCACCCTCATGCTTCTGTTCTTAAAACCGTTGTGAACAACATGAATGTAAAGCATCATGCTGATATAAATAAAATTCACTTTTGTGAAGCTTGTTAGTATGGAAAACTTCATCTCTCAGTCTAGCCGTCAACCTCTTCTAAATCTCTTGAACCCTTTGAGTTGGTGTTTGCAGATGTTTGGGGACCAGCTTCAATTGTTTCAGCTACTGGCTTTAGATACTATCTACTGTTTGTGGATGATTATACCAAATACACCTGGATTTATCCTCTAAAATTTAAATCTGAAGTTTGTACCACTGTCTCTCTTTTCATTAAGCTTGTGGAACAACAATTTGACAAGAAAGTTAAAGTTTTTCAGTCTGATTGGGGCGATGAATTCATACCTCTGGTCACTTATTTTTCTCAACAAGGCATTCACTTTTGTCATCCATGTCCCCATATTCACCATTAAAATGGCAAAGTTGAACGCAAGTATCGCCATATCACTGAAACTGGACTTACACTTCTAGCTCAAGCCTCCATCCATGCCACTTCGTTACTGGTGGTTTGCCTTTCACACAGCAATGTATTTAATAAACCAACTACCCTCAACTACCTTGACGCATAGCAATCCTTTCCAAATGCTATTCAAAAAGGCTCCTGATTACACAGCACTTAAAACCTTTAGATGTCAATGATTCCTTTTTATCAGGCCTTATCAAAAACAGAAGTTTTCTTTTCACTCTAAAGCATGTGTATTGTTGGGATACAATTCACATCACAAAGGCTACCTATGTTTAAACAGTCATGGCAGAGTCTACACTATCCAGAGTGTTAAGTTCAATGAAAGTTGTTTTCCTTTTGCTCAAGGTTTTTCTGACACAAACTCTACTTCTTCCGAATATCACTGCCTAATTCCACAACCACACAGTCCCATTGGAAACTAACTTTACCACCCTTATCTGCTTCAAAACCTCTTACTGAAAACAACTACCAAAACTATGTTTCTTCCTCACCGTCAGTTCCTCCTTCCTCACATTTTACTCCTATTCATTTGCAGGTTGATCTTCACCCATAAAATTTTTCACACTCTTTACAAACACCGACGTCTGCATCTACTGCTCCAAAACTACAAAACTTTCATCCCATGATTACAAGAGCAAAGGCTGCTGCTCTGCTTAGTACCACTACAAACACTACTACACCTATAGAACCTTCATTAGTTTCAGCAGCTTTGCAAGATCCACTTTGGCATGCAGCTATGATCTCTGAATTTGAAGCACTGCAAAATAACAACACCTGGTCCCTTATGCCTTACTCTCCCAATATGATGTTGGTTGGTAACAAATGGGTATTTCATACTAAAACCAATGCTGATGGCAGCTTCCAAAGGTGTAAGGCACGTCTTGTTGCAAAGGGTTTTCATCAAACCCCTGGTATAGACTATCTTGAGACCTTCTCTCCTGTTGTAAAAGCCTCCACCATCAGAGTCATTCTTACCTTGGCAGTTCACCATGGCTGGGATGTGCAACAAGTGGACGTAAATAATGCGTTTTTAAATGGAGACCTCTCTGAATCTGTTTACATGACACAACCAGAAGGCTTTATTGACAACCATCATCTTACTCACATTTGCAAGTTACATAAAGCCCTATATGGATTAAAGCAAGCCCCTCGGGCATGGTTTGATAAATTGAAAGCTGCACTTCAGTCTCACGGCTTCCAAAACTCCACCTCTGATTCCAGTTTATTCTTTTACCATCAAGGAGCAACTAAACTATATTTTTTAGTCTATGTAGATGATATAGTCCTCACAGGAAATGATCCTAAGCTGCTAAATCAAATTGTTCAAGATCTTGACCACACTTTTGGTCTTAAGATACTCGGTAAACTAAACTTCTTCCTCGGCATTGCGGTTCACCATACCTCTTCTGGTTTGCTCTTAAATCAAAGCTCCTATGCGCAAGATCTGCTTGTCAAATATGAAATGCAAAATTGCAATCCTTGCTCCACACCAATGATCCTCAATTCAAAATTATCCCTTGATGATAGTCCTCTATTTGATCAGCCTTCACTTTATCGAAGTCTCATTGGTGCACTCCAATACCTTACTCTCACATGGCCTGACCTGTCGTTTGTAGTTAACAAACTCAGCCGATTCCTTAAAGCTCCAATCGTGAATCATTGGCAAGCTTGTAAACATATCCTTCGGTATATTCAAGGGACTCTTCATTATGGTTTAACTTTCACCAAAAGTGACACTTTGCAATTGGAAGGTTACACTGATGCTGACTAGGCAGGAAACATTTCTGATTGTAAGTCTACCACCAAATATTGTATTTTCCTTAGTTCCAATCTGGTTCAGTGGTGCTCCAAAAAACAATATGTTGTCACCTTGTCCTCCACTGAGGCTGAGTATTGAGCTCTTGTCTAAGCTGCTACTGAAATTGCTTGGCTTCAAAACTTGTTTCAAGAACTGTGCATCTCCCTTCCTGGCATTCCTGTTCTCTGGTGTGACAACACTAGTGAGGGAGCTCTTACTTCAAATCTTGTTTTCCACGCCCGCACTAAACACATCGAAATCGATGTCCACTTCATTCGTGAGATGGTTTGTTCCAAACGGCTTGTCGTTCAATATGTTGCTACTGCTTTTCAAGTAGCTGACATCTTGACGAAACCCCTCTCTAGTTCTCGTTTCTGCACTTTACGTGATCAACTTCATTTAGCTTCCTATGGTCCCTCTTCCTTGTTCTTGCTTGAGGGACGATCGGGTTCAGGGCAAGCTGCAAACTTCAGAGAAAGGGACGATCAGGAACATAACAAATGATTACAGTTTTTTTTCTTAGAGCAGTCCAACATCAGCCGTCTCATGCAAATGCAACAGCTCGTCTCATGCAAATGCAACAGCTCGTGACGAATTGGTTGCTATAAGCAGCTTGACTCATGCAAATGTAGCCAGCTCTGGTGAACTGGTTGCTACAAGCAACTCGTCTCATGCAAATGTAAAGCTCGTGGCGAACTGGTTGCTACAGCGCTCGTCCATGCAAATACAGAGCTCGTGGCGAACTGTTTTTTTTTTTTTTTTTTTTTAACAAAAATGCTTGGATTGAAGGCTTAAACTTCATCTTAAGGGACGATGTAAACTACAGCAAGCTTCAACTCAAGCAGCTAAAGTTTTCTTCCTGAATATCGCACTTTCTGCATTTCTCTCTCAACAAACTGCAAGTGGATCATTTTCAGTTTAACGAATTGACAAGTTGCAGCTGATATTTTTGTGCAAGTTGGCAAGTTGTTACTCTTTGTTATGCAAGTGGCATGGGTTGTTATCTTTAGTTATGCAAGTGACAAGTGGCCGTGCAACTTGCATCAACGTAAACAATCCATGGTTAGAGTAAACCTGTGTAACATAAATGTGCGGCTGGGATTCTAGAGAAATGAGCAGCACGTGACCTGCTTTTGTTATAAATTGTGAATGTAAAGTCGATTGTTATTCAAAAAATCAATAAGAAATAAATGCTTCAGTACTGATCCCTTACTCTCTGTTTCAGAGCTTTATACTCTGTCTTTTCTTCCTTTTTTCTTTTGTACGTTTTTAACAAAATAGCAAGCACAAAAGCTATTAGCATTCAAATAGAGCAGAAATTTGGTGAAGGCATTTTTATGAGACGACAATCCATTGGGATAATGAAACAAAATTAATACACAAGAAAATGAAAAATATCATTTTATCCCATATAACCTTGTTAAGCAATTGTTGAAATAACCATTTTTCCACATAAACAGGTGCAATATAGAAGATGAATATTTGAAAACATCATGGTGATAAATATACAAAGACATTCTGCATGATTCTCAAATTTGCAGCCTCCCCCAAATAGAAGATAGAGACCCATATAGAGTAATTTAGCTGTTGACATCCTGTTGTTTGTTGGTAACCTGCAGCACTTGAACCTCCTATTCAGGTGAAAAATTAAGTTACCTGTGATTTATATATCTCAAAATTATAACTAGAAGATGAAAAAAAAGCCACATAAGCGAACATAAAATTGTCGGGTGACTGCTACAGTGCCTTACCAAAAACTACTTTTCCGATCCAAGTATTTGCACCTTTTTTTAGTTCTTGAAGAGCTTCTTCATCACATCCTTCAGAGCTCTATCATCCAACTAAATAATAAAATGAAGCATATCAAATGAAGGTATAAGAGGAATAAATAATTTTGTAAGAAGGCACCTTGAAAGCTGTGAGTCTTGCATGTCTACATAATTTAGCAAGAATTTTAACTAGAAACAAAAAACTCGAAATCATATTATAGTCAAGAAGAGAGCAATAATGTTGTGGCCACCATCCACGGCTTGGTAGTGGGCTATTTAAAAAGAACAAAGTACATTCCCTAAGAAACTGTTTTAGGGTAAAGGAAAAACCTCGGGTTGTCCATCAGACTTTGGAAACTGCCTTATGTGGACATTTGCAAGTAATAAGATCAGGTGCTCCCTCTGATTAGCTACATTATCCTTCTGTACAATGGTGAGACTAAGAAATAAGAATAGTTCAAGAAAACAAAAGGAACTGATTCTTCCAGATATTTAATTATAGGACTCCCAACACAACATTGCAAGACCATAATTTATTGACAAAAGAAATAATTCTGTCTCATTCATTCAACAATTTTTTTCTTTTTTCATTTTCACAAAATATTTCATCAGAAAAAAAAAAAGGGAAGACGTTTTCATTCCACCTGAAATCCATACTTCTCCTGAAGCCAATCTAGAATGTCTTCATCTTGCTTTTGATTGTGTTTCTTGGGCCATCTAAGACCCCTAGTGTTACGGAGGGCAACAACTGCTGCTTGAATCTGCAAATGATGATTTAAAATAATAGCGTAGCAAAAACAATAGAAAGCTAAGAGTCGAGGACCAGACAAGGTAAAAGTTTGAGACAAACCTCAGGATATTTCATAATAGCTTGATTTGCACTATCAGGATCCAGAGGAAGGATATTGTACGGGACACACATCTGTATTCTTTCTGGAAATAACGGTTCTACAATCTGTACAAATGATAAACCACAGTTCCATCAGTCATTTAAGTGGAATATAAGCTCGTACTCAAAACCACTAAGAGTCAGGATATGTCACATCACCTGACAATCGACTTCCATAGTCTCTTTCCAATTAATATACCTTAAAACCTCAAAAAGAATTTTAGCAGTTTGGTACAGCTTTGTAATCTGTGCACTGGATCTAAATGAAAAAAGGTTATCAGTACAACAAATACCACTACCAGATCATATCACCTAGAAGAATTTATCAAATATCATATAAAGAACTATTTATCAGCCGCAGAACTCACCGGTCAGCTTTATCAGCGGCATTTTGAAATGCTTGGATATATTCATTGTAATAATGTTGATAAATTCTCTCTATTTCATGCACATCACTATTTTTCCATCTTTCTATTAATATTGGATCATTCTCCTGCAAAAAATAAATAAATAAATAAATAATTAAATTAAATTAAAAAGAAAAAAACAAAAGCCATCAAGAAACCCACACTACTTACTACAAGAAGAAAAAGATTTAGACACCAAAAGATAGAGATAAATGCTAGTCGAGGTACTTGTGGCTACTGCATAAGGCTTCGTTTGAGCACATAGGATTTAACATGGCATAAAAATTGTCTTAAGTGGATTCGCCCATATCAAATCTTGCTTACAAAACAAATTCCGGAACTGTTCTCTAAGCACCTGGAATATTTGAACTGAGCAATGTGTTTGGCAAAAGTTGCAGACAGTGGACATCATTCTACAACAGGTTTCAGCATAAACTTTATTTCAACCCAAAAGTCCCCCGACCTTTCCCATTTGTCACAGAAATTTAAAATTGGGGGCCACTTCAAAACACTATAACTTTGGCAGCCACAAAAAATCATTAGATATAATATCCCAAGCAGGTGGCTAGAAGGGGTTTTGAACCCTTGACATCCTGGTTGAAACTGAGGGCTTTTACCACCAAGTCCAACCCTTGAGGTTAACTAGTCAAAACACACTGAATATCTGACCTACAGTTTCTTCAACAACAAGCACAAACAAGGTTTGCTAGTGTTATGTAACAAAGACATTGTTGCTCATTTTTTTATCAAACATTTTATTACCGTTCAACACATGCAGCATCAAACTCAGTTTTTTTAATACATATTCAAAGACAACATTCAAGTGGAATACAAATGAACCCTCCCAGTTTAAATTTCACTCTATGTCATATTTTACACAGCTGTTTCATTTTTATCACAGCACGTTCGTGTTGACGAATCACGGTCAAGGCCATAAGCAACTTGTTTGCATCCCATATACATTGATACTTAGCACCTAATAAGAATTGCATAATACAATAAATGACATTCTCATGGACCATGTTTCTCGTAAGTTTAAAACAAAAAAATTTTTATGATAGACGACTCAAGAAATGAACATAAGTTAAGCATATCCACAGATCTTCAACAGATAAAGACAAAAAAGGATTTTTCCCTTGTTAGATATTTTCTTTTAATGGCACATCTCAGCCTACTCCAGTTCTCAAATATAACCACATGAATAGTTAACAAACACATAAAAATTCTGAAATTAAGAGTAAACTTCCATGAGAAAGAAGGCAAATATTGAAAAATAAAAAATGAAAACAAGGGTGGTAGGCACTCAATTCAGAGCTAAAAAACTAAATGCTCACTCTTTGGAGACTTCGAAGCATGGCCGTTAGGAACTGGCTAACACCTCGTCCACTAGAAGCGGGATCCAATCTCTGAGCTATGTGATAGGCATAACAGCGGCCTACATTCACCAAAACATATAAATCACAGCATTAGAAATACAAATAAGAAGAGAATTCTGCCACAATAAAATTTTAAATAAGAACAAGAAGCAGATTGAAACTGAGATTTAAAAGCAAACAAAAGATAACATGAGAATACATGCTGCAACTATAACGATGGATAGTCATGACTATAGAGAAAAATATATATATATATATCTGTTCTCACTTTCTAGACAAACAAATTAAGGGAGCAAATGATTACCCCATAAACACTTCAAAATTCATATGAGTCCAGGAAAAAACTTTACAATGAGACACATATGACTCTTTTGAATACAATACCATTTGGGTAAGGTCATACCCTAGTCAAGAGTAATATCACTAATCCTAAAAGTTTAAACTCATATGTAAAGATCAACAATTCTAAGCTGTAACACACTCCCTCATGTGCAAGGCAATTACTAGTCCAATGGTTTACCAAGTGAACACAAATATTGGCATTCTTTTTGCCATGTTTTGAAGCTTGATTAACACAAGTACAGGTTTTCAAGAATTAACCACAAAATATAAGAGTCAAAATAGGCTCTGACACAATTAAGGAACCAGTAATTGCAAAAGGTAACAGCCAGAAATATCATTTAAGTTCTAAAACCACAGAAAATTAAAAAAAAGTAGTTATTATGAAGCTCTTGTTTTCTGTGGCCTTACATTTGGGAAGCCAATGTTTATTAGTTTTAGATGTCATTACCTCTCAAATTTGTGCTACTTAATATGAATTTGTAGGCAGCAATTACAACCATTTTTACAAAAGGTTATCTAAAGAAAACCACATTTTAAAACGATTTAGCTTTCTTGGACTAGTACAGCTCGAGAATTCATCATTTTGTAAGGTCATCCAAACAATGTTTCAAGGCAACTTACAAGACTTTAAACTTGTTAAATTACATCACAGCACTGCCAAACGATTTTTGTACAAGAAACAATGAATCCATAGTGTTTTTCAACGGTTTAGCTTTCCTGTGTTAGGACAGCTGAGAGTTCATCATTTTGTAAGGACATCCAAACAATATTTCAAGGCAAGTTACGAGATTTCTAACTTATTAAATTACATCAAAGCACTGCCAAATGATTTTTGTGCATGAAATAATGAATCTCTAGTGTTTTCTAATGCAAAAAACCAGTCAAATGCAATTTATGGGCGTATCACCCAAGGTCCAACACTCTTGAAGCATAGCATAAAGTAGCCAAGATAAGGAGGTAAGAATGGAGCTTAAAAGTCCAATATCACTTGCTCAGAGGAAGTCATTAGATCATATATGTAAGAGATCCCTTTTCATCATTATTGAAACCTTTTGGGTAAATCCAACTGTACGGGTTAGGATCAAAGCAAACAATAAAATATTATTTGACATTGGGTTGTTACAATAGCTAAGTAAAGAAAAGCTATACATATCCACGGAGGAAATTAACCAAAAAAACAAAAAAAAATTATCTTGTAGCATAAAATACTAAAAAACAGAATATAGTCGTGGTAGGGCCTTAGAATTCTACATTTTCAGACTATTCAAAATTTTCGTTAAACTGGCTTAAAGGATGTTTAAAACAAAAGCACTTCCAAAAGAAGAGACTCTACTATGCATTTATGTGCATTGCACATACAACAAGCCAGTTATGAAGTACATGCATGCCCTCATGCTGGTTGCATGCAACAGATGCACAAATGTTTTTTTCCCAAAAGAATAATAAATTAACTCGAACTTAAGTTTAATACCATAACAGAGGAGAACTTTGAAGAACAATTCAAAAATGCATTTCCCTTTTTCAGAAATTTCAACAGGTAACACCAGGAATTGATTAATATCCCACTCCAACAATGCAGTGTGCTCACGGAGAGAACAACCATAAAGACAGTCAAGACACACAAATATCCATTCACTTCCACTGCCGGTGACCCACCACATCCACAAGCAAACATACCATCAGAGCTTAAATACTTGTACCTACTTGCTTGAGCCTCGCGTGGTTAGTTAACAATGTTACCATATTTACTTATATCAGCATTCTCGTCTGTCCACATATAGGTTAGTTCAATCCTTGTTCCATTTTAACAAACCTAATAGCTTAAACTGTTTTGAGCTCAAAAAACACTATTAATACATCCCTCACTCCACATTTAGGTGGAGTGAAGGATGAATTGAAGAGTTAAAAGACCAAGGGGTCTTGGGCTCAAACACCACTATCAATACATATACCAGGCCACAGAGTGAAGGATGGATTGAAGAGTTACAAACCAAGGGATCTTGGGTTCAAGTTGTAGAAAAGGCAAAGGTGGCCACCAATTACCATAAAAAAATAATAATAATAAATAAATAAATAAAACTATTAAGCTAACAACAAGAACTTACATCGATAAGCAACCCTCGGGTTACTCGATTCAACTTCTTTAGCCACACCGAGAATCGGCTCAACATCACCAAGCGCAGACGGCACCACCAACAGCTCATTATCAAACATCGTCACTACGAGATTCCCCGCCATCTCCACGTCGCCTGCGTCTGCGTCCGCGTGATTCTTCTACCAAAACCTCAGTGTCCAAACACACTCACTTTCCTAGCAAATTTCAGACAAACACGCTTAACAAAAATCAAGATCAAAAAATATATAACAAAAAAACACTAATTAAAACTAAAAAAATTATAAATTAAAAAATTAAAAAAGAATGTATGTAAGTACAGGTGATGAAGAGGAAGAGCTTTTCAGGTTACTAAATCTGACATCTGCAAGCAGCGAAAACAAAAACAGAAACAGAAAGTGAGAAATTAAAAAGAAAAACAAAATAAAAAATAGAAGGAAAATAAAAGCTGGAGAAATATGAAAAGAGAAAGAAAGAGGTGGTTACAGTAAGCGCTAAGGTAGAGAGAGAGTGAAGGTTTGGATAGTGCTGAGAGATGAAGCTTACTTGGGAAGAAAGCAACGGAGGAGAGAGTAAAACAAAAGAAGAAGATGGAGCAGTGAAGTAAAAGAATTCTAGAGACTAATTTGAATTTACCGTAAGAAAAGAATAATGTGGGAAAATAATGTTAAATCAGGATTTAATTAGAATTTAATTTTGTTTACTTTCTTTATTTGGTTTTCTTATTTATTTGGGATTTTTTTATTTAGTTTCCTTATTTATTTAGGATTTTATATTAGGATTTCAAATAATTTTCTATTTTAATTATGAGTTTAGTTGATTTTAGAAGTTTTAATTTAGTTAAGTTTCAGTTTTCTTATTTTATAATTAGCTTTTCATTAATTAGTGTTTGTGTTAGTAGTTAGGGTAGCGTCTTTTTTTTTTTTTTTTTTTAAGTTGTATTTTCTTATTTTATAATTAGTTTTTTATTTTATTAGTGTTTGTGTTTAAGTTGGATTTTTTTCTTTGATTAATTAGAGTCATGTTAGGGTTAGAGTCATTTCTTTTTCATATAATAACGCTAGAGATATTGGCTTCGTTGGTTGGATTTTGGAATACTACTTTAGTATTTCCAAAAAAATTAAACAGTAAAATACCCAAAAACTCACATATTATTCAACTTTATTCAACATTTTTTAAACCCCCTAAATTTGTTGATTCAATTAAATACCTTTAATATTTTTAATATTTGTTACGGCGACTCCAGCCACCATCCGGCGGTGGTGGCCGGCTGTCCGTATTTGAGGGTGGATTTGGGGGTGTTTTTGTTAACTTTTAATGTTTTATTATAAGGGGTGTTTTGTAAAAAAATAAACATAGGGGGTATTTTATAATTTGTAAATCCTACATCGTAATACCCGCCTAATTCAACTTTTTTTTTAACTTTTTTCAAAAAACTTTTCCCAAAAATACAAAATTGTGAACCAAACGGAGCCATTAAGTAACAAATGCATTGGTTTCTAAAAGAAAAGATTAAAAAAAATGTAAGATTCTAAATATATTTTAAAGTATAAAGACTACTAACTAAAAACACTTCAAAAAAATATAAGAATTGTATTTAAGAATAATCTTTATTGTCAAAAGTGGTTCTAGCAACTCTTGTCGCTCTCAAATTACTTTTTTTCTCTTGGTAGTTTGAATTAATACGGTCTTTTTATTTATTATGCAACTTTTAAGAGATGTGTTCTCCTCTGAGTTGTTTTAATAGTAATATATATGAATGAAGACAGTTAAATCATATCAATGTGGCTCAATTATTCGATTTCGAGAAAAGTTATTTATAATATTTGTTATTGTCTAATTTCTTTTCTCATGTGACTTTCATATTCGATCCTGCTTGCAAAAGAGGAAATATTTTGAATAGTTAGAGAAAATCACAATTTTTTTTTATAAAATTCATTTACATAAAAGAGCAATTTGAGCATTATGAAAAATTACATATGGTGTTTTGCTTATGAAGTGCTTCCTAATTTGGTAAACTAACGTAGTAAATACTTATCTTGGCATGGGGCAATTACGTCAAAAAGATGCGAGCAGCATGATGTAGGGACTGTTTCATAATTCCACAAAAGACATTAGCATTTTGGTAAGGTGATTGGAATTTCAAAAAAACAAAAAAAAAAACAAAAAAAAAGGTGAAAAAGAGATTCTAAAAGAAATAATGCTAGTCTCACAAACATCTTTTACTAACACTTCTCATTAATCCATGTGGTAATCTGTAATTAGCTTGGTCAGATAGAACTCATTGTTGGACAAATAAGACCCATGCAAACTAATCAACTGGAAGCTGACATATGGTATTTGTAAGAGAAAGTTAGTGAGAAGTATTTATGAGTGTAATATAACTCTTCTTAAAAATATAAAAGCCACTTTGTTGGCGAAAAAGGAACTATAATTGCTTTCTAAGACTAACAAGGCTATTTTACCTCCACAAGATTCTCTCAATTCTCCTTCAACTAACATACTTAATCCGGAAGTAACGAGGATGAAAAGGTAATTGAACTAGATGCCGGTGTCCTCTCTTTTTTAATGTTGGACAGGCATATTAGGCATTTGGTAAACGAGTAGGGGTAATTATGACATTAAGGAATGGTGATTATGTTGCTATAAGAGATGATCGTCGGTTTGTTTTGTTCGAAATTACTTGGGGGAACGACTTACACCTACTTAAAGTTTGTTTTAAAGACAAATTGACACCCAAAAGTTTTAAAAATGACAAATAGGTATTTTCCGTCATACATTGTTAGCGATTTTTGTTTGCTAAAGGACAACAATAATATAAAAGATTAGAATGCCGTTAGAAGTTTGATATTTTAGGTTTTTATTAATTCATGATTAATCAACTCATTCAATTACGTAAATACCCACATCATTATGGTGAATTACAATTATGCCATCAAGTTATTATAATTAGATAAATTACCAGTTTGTAAAAAAATAGACACAACAAATGACCATTTTGTCCCTACTTTGCCAACAAATTTTCAAAGTGCATATATATAGAGAATGCAGCAGAATAAAATTGCTTATTATGGCTGAAATTCTTCATGAATCATTTATACAAAAGAACGTAATTTGTAATGAAATTCTTCCTAAGTTACAAATAAATAGAAACTGTTTACAGGGAAGAAGATATACAAAAAATGCAGAAGCAATTTCTAAGATGCTATTGTTACAGCTCCTAAATGTTGTGTAAATCTTTAATTGTATTTGCTAAGTTACATCTTAGATAATTTCCTCCATGCTTCGCCATTCTGATTTCCAAAAAAGTGTAAATAGACAAAGAAATACACTATGATTTTCAATAACAAAGCAAAAAAATGATAAAAAATTAGAAATATAGCTATAGTAGATAAAAGTCAAGATACTGAACATACAAATAATAATTAACAAAAGAAGTATGAATTACCAAATCAAAGCATGCAAACTAAAATTGGATAGAGACTACTAGAAAAAGACAATTCTTATTTATGATTCATAATATTGTATTTAAAAATGAGACAAAAATCAATCAATAATATTCCATGTACACTGCATTTAGCATTACAGAAAGTGCTAATTAAAAGTGTAATGATGATTAACAGTTAATTAATTCATAGCTTAATTGTACACAGCAACACAACAAAACAAAACTGGGCAGTCCAGATAATTAAAAAAAAAAAAAAAAAAAAGGCCCCAGGCAGCTCACAATCCCAGCCCAGAACCCCAGGAAAAATTAGAACAAAGATTCACCTTTTTACACTCTTAAGTTGACGACTTGAAACAGCATGTAAAATTGCAGCAGATTTGACACGTGCTGCTGGGACATGGACATGGTGAGTAACATGACACGGAGCACATGCCAATAATAATTAACAAACAAACAAAACAGAAAAATAGGAAAGACGTCATAAGAAGTAAAAATAACCAAAAATTAAAAGAGATGGTGCACAAATATCATACAGGAAAAGTCATTCCGTTTTTATACGAACACAACTACTATGCTATCAGGAACAGATCAGCTACCTTATATCTGAGCATGCTTCAACCATTTCGAATTCACATTCAAATTGCATTTGGTTTGAGAATAAACAATAACATTAAGATTATAATAAACAATTAAACCCAGCAACATTGAATGTACCATCCTCGGTTGAAGTGCTTAAATCCAACAACATTAAAATTCTAATAAGCAATTAAACTCAGCAACAATAAGATTCTAATAAACAATTAAACCCAGCAACATTGTACGTACCATCCTCATCAATAAGTTGAGTTGAAGTGCTTAGATCCAGCAACATTAAGATTCTAATACTTCAAAACATAAAGTGCTTAAATCCAGCAACATTAAGATTCTCCACTATTCACTGCAGAGGCAAAGGTGTTCACATATTAGCAATTGATCAAATGCACAACTTATTAAACCTCAAATTGTCAGATGAATGAAATAATTTTCATTGATAAATCATAAATTGCAAAGAATAATAGCAACTTATAACTATTTATCTTTAATCCAAACTGTTAATCATGCCAATCACACTTTATTGCAATTTCACTTTCATGCCCACCTTGTAGGCTTCTCCATCAATTGAGTTTAGAAATTAGATTCGAAAGTTCTACATAAAATTTTATTTTCTATATAACCAAATAAACAAACAAAAAACCTCAAAAACAACCAAACATTAATCTAGTTCCCAATGCAATTAAGGATGCGAATTATGAATTTCAGATTGTTATCTATTCTAGTATGTCATATGACTTCAATTTATGAGAAAGCAATACACCATGAGCAAGTAGCAATTGGTTGTATCATAAACCGAAATGGTTTCTGGGTTCTTGATAATTGCTCAGACATATGAAGTTTTCGATAACATTATGTTACTTGATTTACAGAATAATGTCACAACCAGCCTACTTGCCAACTCAAGCATGCTGCACGTTGCTTACTGATTAAGTATACTTCAGGGTGAAGCAAACTTAAGGGCTAAGTTAACTTCATAGCTAAGTTAACGACTCAGCAGCTAGGTTAATGACTAACCACCTTCGTTTCCAAAGTTGCTCCAGAGCTTGCCACCTAGGGTTGCTTAATGGTTAAGTATATAATTAGCCACATTCCTTTGAGGAGGTTTAGCCTATAAATAGGCAACTCCACCGTGTAAAGTTTCATAAGTTGTAATCCTGTAATACAAAGTTTATATTTTCTCTACAATTCTCTCTCATTTGCATACTATTAGCCTTTGAGTTTGTGTGAGCGTTAGGCTGCTTAACTTATTTTCGAAGGGTTAAGGTCACACGAACTTAGCAAAGAAGTTAAGTGCGTGACAATAAGCCCTCTTGGGGGCATTGTCAAAATGCTCCAAACTGAGGTATTGTTCCCAAGCACCATAAACATCTCTTCTCTGAAGAAATAAAGCAAAACATGGTTTCAGCAAGCAGAAAAT